GGTTTCGTTAAGTATCATTTGATATAAGACAGGTAAGACTTATCAAAGATTTAGGCTAAATATATATAAATATTTTACATACATAAACAATACATAGTAATAGTATAATTATTACTTCATAATAATTATTTTAAAACGTAATTATTTTTTTAATATTATTTATTAAATGAACAACCTCTATCCCATCTTGACATCTAAAGAGGAGTCACAAAAAAATGTATGCATATTTTGAGTCCGTAATTTAGTAACATCTTTTCTTTTTCAGGTAAAAATTAGCCTTAAATGTGTATAATCTAATTTTGATTTTTGATATTCACTCTAGATTATAAAATTATTAAATTAAAATTTAGGAAATAAACAGAAATTATTAACAATCAGTGTGTTGTATTTCTTTGTGACACTGCATACAGTTTTCTGTTCATGTATTGATAGTATTTTATAGTGTTTCATTTATAATGTACGATTGTTCTGGGAATATAAATATACTGTAACTTTTAGGTCTGTTTTTTTTTTCTTTTCTTTCGGCAGATGAATGTAGATCATGGCCGGAAATGGAAGAAAACTAATTCAAAAATCATCTAAATTTGTTAAATAGGACTGAATTTATAACACCCCCTTAGTACCTCTGTGTGAGTGGTCCTGAGTTGTTTTATTTTCTGATAAATCACATAGTTGTATACTATGCAGGAGGTCTTATATATCACCACCATACTAAAAGATGAATTTATTTAAATTTTATTTAGCTTATGTTTGTTTATTATACGATTCCTTTACAGTATTTTTTACGATTTACTTCAATTTTAAAATGTTAATAGATTCTCCATTAGAATAATTTATTTTAATATAAAATAATAATTATAGGTAATATTGACGTGTTTGATACCTTTGGTCATTGATGCTTGTATGTATTTCTAAACAAAGGAATCGTAAATAAACATTAAGAATACATATATTAAGCATTGATTTTCAACATGATTTATAGTGTAATTATATAAAAACATATCCGTTGTATACAGTATATATTGTCAATTTTGTGTGAAAACTCAATAACACGAGCAAATTGAAATCTTTTTCATATTTTAATATGGAAAGGATTTCACTATATTTGGCTTTACTCTAAGATGTAATGGTTTATTTTTAAGCTTAGAAATGAACTTTTGACTTTTAAACAAATAACCGAAATTCTCTTAAATGAAGTCATTTCATGTTTTCCTTTGATAGGTTTGTGAACTATCAAATACGATCCGTAACGACTATCTGGAGCAAATCTTGTCAGACTCAAAAATAGATTGAAGGTCAAATTTTAAATTTTACTGCTCAATTTGTTTTCATAAATCAATTAGGAAAAGAGTTTCTTGATACCGTTATATCCTTCAAACAAGAATTCAATTTTTTACAATTAGGCTTATAGCCTACACTAAAAGAATAGAATATTCGACGAACAAATATAAGTATTGCTGATATCTTTATGTTTACGTTATTAATAAATTCAGTAAAGTTTACTTTTAAAAAAAGTTTGTTTTTTCATTATATTAAATAAGTTATGAATAACAGATTTTTGTGTTTAATTTCGTGTTATTTAATTCAATGAATCAACTGTGTTTAATATATTCAGTGGAGTTTTTAAATTTTAACTGGAATATAATTTGATATTAAAAATTTGTTTCTTGCGAATAAATAAGTTTAAAATATATTAATTGGTATAATTCAATTCTAAAGTAAAATTATTATTTAAAAAAAACTACTAATAGAGAGATTCACAGAAAAGATCAAATGGTTCCAAATTTACCATTCTTTTTATATCAATGATTAGAACAATTATAAAATTAAAAAATATTATGTTAATTACTTTGCTTAAATACTCAATATAAATTACAGAAAAAGGCTATTTTTCGTTGTTACGTGCATTTTCGATTTTAGGAACAAAATATCAGTCTGAAAACTTTAATACTTGAAGATGCCAATTTACAGTGACAATAATTTTATCTTCTAAACTGCAAGTGACAATTTTTCCTTTTTATTTGCATTTATAGTAAATATGAAGTCAATTTCCACGTTGCTTCCAGTTTAAATTAGGCAATTCCGTATTCTTTAAATTTCAGATCGAGACACTCAAAATTTGATCTCATTAGAAACTTTAAAGTGGTTTGAATCCAACTTAAAATATATCGAAATGATAAAATTTCGTCTTTAAATATTTGAAATTTAATTAATCTATTCGTGTATAATATAAATTCGTTTACCAATGCTCCATCATATTATATATATAACTTTGAGTCGTGTTCATCATCGATTAACATCTTTAAATATATCCAATAAAATTGAAGAATATAGAACGATATGTACGATAAAACTGTGTAACAAATTAATTGTATATCATAACAAATGTTTGATAAAATTTTTAACACACTAATAAATAGATTTCGTATTTTTGGCTTATCTTTTTAACAGATTGAGATAAAATCGGTATAAAAACTCTGAATGACATCTCTTAAATGAAAATCGAAATTTCACTGTTCTGTAATCGTTCTGAAACATTGAATTGTGGAATGTAGAAACAGTTCTTTTGCTTCGTGAACTTCGACCGACAGATGTTTAATTAAAATTGTAATAAATGTTTTATTGATGAATTGTTGTCCACAATGGACTAGTCCTTTTGTGTGTAATGATATGAAAAATTGTTGCGTTCAATATTTCGGTCGTTTTGATTGGCAAAAATGTTTTTAAAAAGTTTCACGCCCTACCGTTTATCAAAAAATTGACCTTCATTCCGGCCATCGGCTCTAAGCATCCACATAAAACACTTTGCTTTACATTTCCCTTTTGTATTGAAACAATAACTTATTTTGCCCTTCGCTGCACTTTAAAATTATATTTATTTTCCCACAGGAATAACTTCGGGAAAAAATTGGTCATAAATTTTACTTCGGTCTGAATTTGATATTTTTAGTGACTATCAGAAGTACGTTTTTGAGCAGGTGTAAAAAATCGAGAGACCAGACAATAAAGATGGGCCTCCTACATATATTTCTATGGAGTGGGCGGATATTTCGTATCTCCTTTGTAAGTTTCATCGAGGGAGGGCTTTTTTTTCTTTTTTGGTACGTCTCTATGACTACCCCATTGACAGCGTTCGGTTCCTGGAGGTCTGTAAACTCCCCTATTGAGTCAGGATGTTGTTTCTTTAAAACTGTTTTTTGTTTTGTTTTGTTTTTTGACGTGCAGCCTTGGTGATTAAATACTCATTGCTTAGATTTATTATGTATCTTCATAAATTTTTATTTAATAAAGTATGCATTGTACCGTATGAAATGTTCGCAATAAAAATAAATAAGCATTGTGAATTTTATCATATCAATCATATATATAACGTCTTATAACTATTATTATAGCATTAATACGTAAAAAAACACGTAACAGCTTAAATCATGTTCTGCATTAGTCTCAACTTTACGATAGACTTATATTTTCCAGGGGTTTTATTCAGTCGCAGTGGAACTGTGAAATATTTAGAAGTAATAACTTTTTTCGGTTAGGAGGTAACTCTTTTAAGACAACGAATTGAGATACATGAAACTAGAAAAATGCGTTCAGGTGAACGAACGTATCCGTTCCGGACGATGGATCCTTCGGTCATTATCTACTTGGTGCAAATCATTCGGGTGAGAAGTGTTGTTTATCCCACACGTTAAATTTTACAATCTGCTTCGCATATGCCTATTTAACGAATGCGCAGTTTTATAACTCCGATTTTTATTTTTCTTAGTAGTTCTCGTACAGAGTAGACAATACGGTAAGCAACTCTGTATGAACGAAATTCTGTGAATATTGAAGTATTTAGAACAGTTTCATTAACGGAAATAGTGTTCAAAATTTAGATTATATCCTTATAATATATGTATGTGTGTAGAGAGTTATATGAATAGTCTAAATTCAATGAAATGCTTTGTGGCAACTAAAATATTAAAATATCGATTGTTCTCATTTCGATCGCGGTTTTTCCTAGTAACACGCTGTTTTATTTAATAGTGTATTGTGAATAGTAATAGCCAGAACCAAGTTTATGGCCATATTTCATTTTCCTACATAAAACTTTTCAAATAAAAAATTACATTTTCACCGCAGTTAATTAGTAAATATCAATAAAATCGGCAGATAACTTGGACACATGATTAAACGTCGAACTTTCCAATTGAGAATATTATTTTACGTTTAAATTCGTAAATTTAGGGTAAACTCGTTTCAAATAATAAAAGGGAAATGTAATTATTTAAGTAGGTTTATTCCACACTTTAATTATATGCTATTTTAAAAAGGTAGTAGTAGTATGTATAATATACATAATTTTCCAGATGGTACGACTGCTTTCCTGTCATCCATATATGGCGGCAGTTTGTATCGTAAATTATTTTTTAATTATATTAGAAATACAAAATCATATATTTTTTTAGTCATTTTAACAACTTTAATATAAATAAAAACTTGTTTCATCGAAAATTTTAGCGTTGTCTATCATACACTTTTATCCTCCGATGATTAATGTTGACAATGCATCGCTTATCAATTATTCGATGTTCAAAATATAAACTGGATGAGGTAATACGCGTATATTATTATAATTACATAGTAAATGATTAAGCTTTGTTATAATAGAGCTTCCACATGGCCGAAATTATATTTTCACGAACATATTATTAAATTTTAATCGTTTTCGTTCGTTCCGTTCGATTGCAATTAGTAATAGAGTGAATTATTGTTACTTTTTTCTTCTATAATTATAGGTGATTACATCAGTTATTTAGTTATATTTCTTTGTTAATATCGTAATTATAAATTATTTTAAAAACTAATCTGCATTCATATTATCGCGTCGTAAACACGTGCTAAAACTGGTCATGAAACTAAAATCATGACGAAGTTAAGGTCAAGTTTCTTTGAAGAGAACAATGTTATCAACGATCTTTATTTGCCATATAATTATAATTTTTATTTTTGGGTAGGCACTGCAAAAGAAAATCGAATCGAGAGGAAAATACGTATCTGCTCTATTGAAATCTTGCGATCGCCTTGTAAGTTGTCGTGTGGATGACACAGGGCCCCCTCTGAGTTGGGATGCTCATCACATTAGAAAAGTTGCTTCCAACTTGGAAAAGAGATGGCATGCTTTGTGGCTAAAATCCCTGGAAAGACAATGCTTGCTTGAGGAATTTCTTAAAAAATATAGATCTGTGAGTATATTTTCTGTTTGTATTTACTTTATTTTAGTAATATGATGATGATAATATGTATTAGTTTTAGTTTTTTAACTGATTATGTTAAGTATATTATTAATTTTTTTTGTTTATTTCTCTGAGAAGTCAAAAATAGTGTGCTTTATTTCTAAGTAAAATTAATATTTACTTTGTAGTTTTTCATCTTTTTTTATTTGATGTAAACTGAATGATAGTTTAATACTTTTTTTTAAAAAACTTTAATTTATTAATTTTCAATTATGTTAGTTTTTGATGTGTTTCATATATATAAAATTTTAAATAATATCTTAAATTTTATTATATTCTCTCTTAAAATATTAATATAATTTTTAATTTTATGAATAAATTAAATAAAAAAAGAAACTATTGTTCAGTAAGTTACTATGAAAAATATTTGTTAATCTTACTGTTTTTTTTTTTCATAAAGATATGTAAATTTTTTTGCATAATTATTTTTAATTATATGTAAATTAAATGCAGTAATTGAATAAAATAAAAATTTCTTTATTATATAATAGATACATTTACCTAATTTGAATAGGATATATGATTGCTTTTACTGTATTTTCTTTGCTCAAATCAAATTTTAATTTTTTTACTTAAAGTAGTTATTTTAAGAAATCCATATTGGCATAAGAAAAAAGCAAATGTTAATTTTAAAATGATTTAAAAATTTGAAAAAAATAAAGTTAATAATATAAATTTTAATCTACATCTTTATAAATATATATTTATTAATAATCATTTCAAAATAGCAATAGAGACTTAAATATTTTAACATGATATGAAATATATTGTGTTAGATAAGTTTCTTGACCTGCTTGCACCTGGAGTGCATTTTTGCCTTAGGCTGTTGAGTCAATTTAATGATCACATTAGTGAGGTAAATTTGTAAGAGTTCAGATGTTGCCTATCCCTTGAGGGTTTGGAACAAAGCCAGTCATGAAAAGCCAATTTCTCCTTTTGAGCATAATGTAATATATAGTCATGATGGATAGTATCAAAATTTCAGCTTAAAATGTTAATTGAGTAGAAGTCAAATTATCTATTTAAAAAATGATTATGTAACATTTATTGACATAGTTAAGTTGTATGTAAATAAAAAAAAAGTAGGAAATGTTTTTAATAGTCATGATTGGTCATGTTTGTTTAAAAATAAATATGACTGTTCAAATGATATTTCTGTAGATAAATATCTTTATTGCATTTTGTTGAAATTTTATAAATTATCATTATTATGCCTGTTGCATATATCACTTTCAATTATATCATTAAAATTTAAAAAATGCACACACAAATACATATCTATATTATTTATTTTTGAAACTAAAAGAAAATTATGATTTTGGCATATTTTGGTAAGCGTATCCTAAATAATACATTATTTATATAGTTTGTCTAGAAAAATGAAATTCCTTTTATATAAATGTTATTTGTATATACAAAAATTTTAAGTTCCTGAAACTTATTTTTTAAAATAGTTTTTATCCTTTTTTTTTAAATTCATATAATTCCTCATGTAGAAATGATACCAGTTATGCTCCATTCCATTCTTATTATGCCTTTAGCTATACAAAGAATAAATTATCTCATCAAGAAATAAGATTTTTCACTGTAAATGATAGAAATCAGTGGAATTTTTTTAAATATCAGATATGAGTATTATACTAGTATTTAACATTTAAATCATTTATATAAATCAAAATAGCAATTACTGTGAATGTGAATGTAAAAATATTGATCTATTTGTTTTCTATATAATAGATTGATTTATAATTTTAAGCATTTTCATTATTTTTGAAAGCTTTTAAAATTTTAAAATACTTAATGAGAAAAATAGCTTAATTCATGTAATTTTATAAACACTGTTTCATTAAAGTTTAGTTTCTTAATTCTTTTAAAACATGATTGTTTATCTCCAATATTTTACTTGAAACTCTTTTATCTTTTATCTTAAAGTTTTAATTAAAGTAACATGGTTATCTTATCACTAAATTTATCAGCAGATAGATAAATTTAGTCTTACAGATAATTTACCAGTAATTGTTTATTAACTAGTAAAATTTATTTGCCAGTTTATCCAAATCATCCTGTAATCAAGTATATTGTGAAAATTATTTTAAATTTAATATCTTATAAAACTCATAGTAGTAAGAAATCAGTGTCTTATTGTAAGGAAAAAATTCTATAATAAACAAACTGTAAATTGCTTTATGGATTACTACCTAAAAGTTACTGTCAGTCAGTTTAGTTTGATTTTATTTTGTCAATTTTGTAATCTTATATAAATAAATTTTGTCCTAAAAATTTTTAAATATAATAATTTATTTATTTTGTAAATTTTAAAATCAAATTTTTTTCATTCAAAATTTAATATGCTAACACACTACAAAGTTTTATCCTTTTTTTAAATTTTAAATGTATATGCCACTCAGCAATTTAAAAATAAATACTTGTTCTGTTTAAAAATATCTAGAGAAGAATTATTGTATGGTTCATCTGCACTGGTTAATTTATATACTAGTAGCCAAAAATATTGCAAGACATGAAAATTTGCCTTATTTGTAACTTGGCTTTGAGTTAGATGCTAGAATCATAGTATTATATGATTTTATTCTCATATCAAAAGGGCATTAATTGAACAGAAAATAAATTGTGTTACTTTATTAATATTCATGAAAGAACAGTTTTAAAATTATTGTATATTGTACTGTAACATTAAACAAATTTCATATTAGCAGGAATGTTACACAAGCCCATTTCGTAGATTTAAAATGAGTCCTTAATCAATTGGCTCACCTTTAATCTTAATAATTGCTGCAACTTAGTAAAGTTTGATGTTTGAACAGAAATTCTTAATATCTATTTATCACAAACTTATGCTGTTTAACAATGTTAATTTATTGCCTATTATTCCTACTTAATAAGAAACTAAGTTGAATGTCACAATTTTATTTTATTGTTAATTAATATTAAAGGAGTTTTAGAGAAACTTAACATTTCAGATATACTTTTTGCCATAATTTTTTTCATTGGACATGAATTTAATTTTTCTTATTGAGTAGCACCAAAGTTGACATTGACATTTATAAACTATAGAAATATTAATTAAATAGTTGAATTTGACACAGGGTTTTACTAGCAATANTGACAACAACAGTAATAATAACGAAAACTGTGTAATAAATGTAATTTAGTAAAAATTTATTTAAACAAAAATTAATCATATATTTTTTCTATGAAAATTTATTTCTAAGTAAACTTTCTAGTCATTGGAGTTCAATGTAACAAGCCTACTGTGTTAAACTGTAAACTGAACCATTGTTTTTATTTTTAATTTTGTTTTGTTTGACTTAAAAAGAATATTTCAATTACAAAAATTTTTTAAAACTGGATATTTATATTTATATTTTGTTTGAGTTGAATTTTGGCTTTTTGGTATATTGAAAATTGCAGAATTTTTTTTCCGTTTAAAAATATAAGTTAAGTAAAATAAACTTTTATAGTGTTAAAGTTTGATGTTATGAAATATTAGATTGGTTTCTTAATTACTAATTAAAATCTGTACAAGTTTTTAAATTAATTTTTTTAAGGGTCTAGATAAGATTTACTTGTAAAGATTGCGTTATGAGTTTAGAGAGGAATGGCAGGTGGGTTATATTAACGAATATGCACCGCACCTGCTGCTAGAGACAGTTAAGCATGAATTATCGCAAATATCTCAAGGTTGTTTCATTTAAAAGTTGAGATAAATAAATGTTAAATTATAAAAAAAAAAGTAAGGCACAAGGATTTATTTAATATCCAAAAATTAAATTTCATACGTATAAAAATTGGAATTTATCTAATAATAATTTTTATTATAATCATTAAGCGAAAAATAACTTTACGGTCTTCCATTGTATATGGAAGGCGTGTCTTTTGAGTATAATAGCTTCGTTTCCCGGACCTTTGGGGAGATAATGTTAATCGTTGGTTAACAAATGTCCCGATAGGAACGCTGCTATCGCACATTTCTCTAAAGGTTCTTTGTGGAGTCCACATGATCGCGCCAAAGTCGATAGGGGACTAGAGCATACTGTGTTTATTTACTGTCTACCTTGTGCGGATAATATTGTAGGTAAGTAGGATTTCATATAAATATCTGACAGAGTTACAATACTTTAGCTTCTAGTCTTTTATCACTTAACAATAGCAAACGATGAATAACAACTTCAAATATATGTAATTGACAATCATCTATTATAAAGAAAAAACACTGTTCAAAGTCTGTTAATATAATATATGAGTAATTTTGAATAATAGAACGTGATACCATATAGCTAGCAACGATGAGGTCATAATCTTAAAAAAAAAAAATAAAACTGTTTGCGTGTAGATTTTTAGTACACTACTGGTCTCGTGGTTTCCAGGAAATGTGAGCACAACTTTTTTGATTATAGGGTAGAAGGTGACGTACGGACGTACAGTACGGTACCTGTAAAATTGTCGATAGTGAAAGAGTTGAGCGTGGAAGAAGGGGAGGGAATGGAACTACACCTACACTGTTGTTCCATGACGTTTAACGTTGTGGAAACTAGCATTATTCTGAATAAATTGGTTTTCGCTATTTCATTCTGTTCAATTTATACGATATATAAAATACGATACGAATATAGATTCTATTCAAATAATGAATTACAACAAAAGTATACATGATTTTATATGTATATAATTTTATTACAGATATAAATAAACTTTTTAAAAGCTTTATTTTAGTTTACAGGTAACTAAATTGATGATTTACATATTCTTGGATTAATATATTATTTAATACCAATAATAACAATACTTTCAAACAAAATTCCAACTGGTTCATCACCGAAAAACTAGAAATGTATATGTAAAGGCCGTGACTCACTTTAACCTATTTACTATTCATAGATCTGACAAACTTGTAAGGCAGTAGGTTCGACACTTCAGAGCACTTAGATTTGGATTGGATCCTACAACTA